GTCCACGCATTGCTGGCTCTTGGCCGATGTTGGCTTTTACCCGGCAATCTGATGTATATTTCTGTAATCTTGCTTCCATCCAATATCCAACGCGAAGTAGCACACTAAAAATAGATCTCAGCACAGGTTTTTTTCGACTCAGTTGATGCATCTTCAAAATTCGGTGACTTGTCTCAACAAAGTTCGTATTATTGAGTTGAAGTAGCGTTGCTGATGGTCGAAAAGCTGTAGACCATTTGTGTTTTCTCGGTAATAGGTGGTCTCTGACATATCGGGCAAACGTTCCGTCCGATATTTCGATCAAGGATAATACGTTGTTAAAACTACAAAATAATGTTATGTTGCTTTTGATTTACCTTCCAACCGTTTGAGTAAACAACATCAGGCGAAAAAATAGTTGTATCACTTCTGATCGTACCCTCTACAATTAAGGTTACTGGGTTAATGTTAATGAACGAAACACTTACCCTCTTTATAACATTGCGAACAAGGTGGACGCGACACAAGATATGGTGAGCATTGGGATACACCTGCATGATGGCAGCAGCTATTGCAGGTGAATCATCTGTCACAATGCCTACCACCTGTCGACTGTTGGTTAACCGTTGGAAGAACGACAGGAATCGAGGAATCAAAGTCGATGTTTCGCGACTTACAAGTGCAATACAAACGGGTATCGCCTTCAAATTCATATCAATGGCTACGATCTGATATAAATAGATATTCTCGTTATTCGTCTTGTATGTTCCGTCCAAACCAATAACATCACCGAAACGGTCTGCAAAAATCTTTTGATCACCAGTGCTGAGGAAAAAGTACGATAGACAGTTCTCATCGTCTAATTCGTATTCGCATCGCCCACCCAAAGATGTTATGTGCGCTTTCAATTTCCCGTAATCACCTATCGTTTACATTATAAATTGGCAAATGGCTTACCAGGAATGTTCGCCTGCGAGAACACTTTGTACCGCATATTATAGATATCTTGATCATTCAGTAGTTTCCCATAAGAATGGTAAGCATAATTCTTAATGTGGAATGAAGCAGTACCAGATACTAGCAGCGGTCGCACATTTTCAAACTGGGCCTCTGTTATCCTGCGCACCCATGAATTACCTTGGTATTGTAAGATTATCGACGGCTACTGGACTGTTATACGTGGAAATGTGCATCACAATCACGATTGCAATTCCCTGAGGTACCAAGGTAATTCATGGGTGCGCAGGTTAACAGAGGCCCAGTTTGAAAATGTGCGACCACTGCTAGTATCTGGTACTGCTTCATTCCATATTAAGAATTATGCTTACCATTCTTATGGGAAACTACTGAATGATCAAGATATCTATAATATGCGGTACAAAGTGTTCTCGCAGGCGAACATTCCTGGTAAGCCATTTGCCAATTTATAATGTAAACGATAGGTGATTACGGGAAATTGAAAGCGCACATAACATCTTTGGGTGGGCGATGCGAATACGAATTAGACGATGAGAACTGTCTATCGTACTTTTTCCTCAGCACTGGTGATCAAAAGATTTTTGCAGACCGTTTCGGTGATGTTATTGGTTTGGACGGAACATACAAGACGAATAACGAGAATATCTATTTATATCAGATCGTAGCCATTGATATGAATTTGAAGGCGATACCCGTTTGTATTGCACTTGTAAGTCGCGAAACATCGACTTTGATTCCTCGATTCCTGTCGTTCTTCCAACGGTTAACCAACAGTCGACAGGTGGTAGGCATTGTGACAGATGATTCACCTGCAATAGCTGCTGCCATCATGCAGGTGTATCCCAATGCTCACCATATCTTGTGTCGCGTCCACCTTGTTCGCAATGTTATAAAGAGGGTAAGTGTTTCGTTCATTAACATTAACCCAGTAACCTTAATTGTAGAGGGTACGATCAGAAGTGATACAACTATTTTTTCGCCTGATGTTGTTTACTCAAACGGTTGGAAGGTAAATCAAAAGCAACATAACATTATTTTGTAGTTTTAACAACGTATTATCCTTGATCGAAATATCGGACGGAACGTTTGCCCGATATGTCAGAGACCACCTATTACCGAGAAAACACAAATGGTCTACAGCTTTTCGACCATCAGCAACGCTACTTCAACTCAATAATACGAACTTTGTTGAGACAAGTCACCGAATTTTGAAGATGCATCAACTGAGTCGAAAAAAACCTGTGCTGAGATCTATTTTTAGTGTGCTACTTCGCGTTGGATATTGGATGGAAGCAAGATTACAGAAATATACATCAGATTGCCGGGTAAAAGCCAACATCGGCCAAGAGCCAGCAATGCGTGGACTTCAGGAACGACTGACACCAGCTGCATGTCAAGTACTGAAGCGGCACCTGCGCACTCCTTTGACGGAGTTTGTAATGTCTGTTGACTTATTCACGGCTGTGGACGCAACAGGGACTTACAATGTACACCGTGATTCCATGCGCTGCTCCTGTACATTTTCCATTGAAAACGGTTTGCCATGTCGGCACATATTGGCTTACTGTACACACAGTATGACTGATGTGAACTTACAGTCAATTTGTGATAGGTGGTTACACTCTGATACTTATCTGACTCGTATTGCAGTTGAGAATTATTTCCCAATGCAATTGAGCCAGCCGAGCATGAAGAATACAGTGATTGAGTTAATCAGGCGACTGTCTGAGGAACAATGCAGTTCACTTTATAGCCAGTTTTATCAAGAACTTCACGGTAGACTACCACCAACGCCGTTGAACTTACAGGCTGAACCGCAGTTGCACACTGGAACAAGCATGTCGACTAACTTTACAACGCCGTTGATGCATCGAGGAAATGTCGATTTGGATGAAACGTTAAGTAACGACGAGGATGACGTAGTTTCTATAAACTCAGAAGAGTTAACAGAACGGGACATCCAAAATGAAGAAGATGAAGAGAACCGTTTGTGTGACATCTGTAATCTTGCACAGCCACCCTATGAAACTGGTGATGAAGTGGGTTGGGTTTTCTGTCCTTATGAAGCTATGTTTCATAGATTCTGTGCTTATGACCCATCACCGAACGTACGAGCAGTCCACTGTCCGATGTGTGGCACCATTACCAACTAATAGTTTGGACGTCCCACCACGAGAACGATTAAAGGCCCTAATCAGGGCCACCCACAAATTGATTTAAAGGCATTTTTCCCAATATTGTTTTTGTCTTTGGCAAAGGTCAAGTGATTAAGCACTTTTTAATGTCGAATGCATTTAGATATACCTTAGATATTAATAATCGATAAGCGATTATCGCTCATGTATTCGTAAACTTGTTTCTAATGTATAATACATATAAAGGTTAAGAAAGCAGACAAGATTTTGTCATTTTATGAACACTTATCTAATAATTTTAGATGTAAAATAATGTGATTACCGTTCATGTCTTAGTAACATATTTGTAAACTATCTATTACTAGTACATTTTAATATAGTGAAAATCGTTATTTTGTCGTTAGGTGAATAAATTTATGATGACATTTATTAGTGAATATAATAAGATAGTTACAAAGATGAATGTGATTAAAGTACTCGTTACATTAAAATTGTTGATCGGAAATCAAACATTTATCCCAATACGCATTCAGCAGCAGTAGGATTGCACTTAAGTTGGTGTTTTTTTCTATAAATGTCTAAATTTCTTACAAGACTTACATTACACAAAAAGATTTATTCATTATCGTTAAATTTCAAATGTAAAAATCAAAATTCTGACATCCAATCACAGCTCTAGATACGATTTCAATTTCAACTAATCACATTGCAAAGATGAACAGTTTACGACCAATTACAAAATTATTAAAGGTGACAAAATGTTTGTTCATTATCACTTGAGCACACACCTGCAAAACAAGTACACCAATCACCGATCGCTAAATTTTTCTTTGACACCATACATTATTTTAGAAACGGGTTGTAGGGAATCTTAATTGCCGTGGTAAAATGTCAACCAGTGTTACATTTTATTCAGTACGGCATTGAGTTTATATTTTCCAGTGTAACATTATTATAGGTTAATATGTTTCATATCAGTTAAGTTTTAATTTGGTCCAATATGGCAGGTGTGAACTCACTCCCAGTTTGGCAATTATATTCTTTACGTTATATTTGTTTGAACTTCGTTTGTGTTTTAAAGTAAACCGGTATATCTTTTCATTTATATGGTGCCTATTAACTAATCATCAAGTGTGTAAAATCGGTTTGTTATTGAGTGTATTCGGTCTAACTTCGTCTGCTTTTGCCTCTTTCACTTGTTATGGGATTCCCTGTGGTTCCCGTTCCGAAGTACAAGCAATAGGATCGCAGATACTATAATCCGTTATCGATATTAACACTAAGAAATAATGTTATTGATCCCCTCATTACTTTACCCTTTTTCATGTGATATGTTCTCAACATCCGCCAAAGCAAGTGGTGTGACTCCGAAGTGTTTAATAACTCCTCTCATTTCATTCATTCAAACCTTTGGATGATATAATCAAACGACTGTTCGCTTATAAATACATATACTTTCGTCACTCAAAAATAAGCTACGTTGTGGTATAGAATACAAAATCATATTTTTGGATTATATCAACTTTGGGTTTAGTACTGTTGAGATCTTTACGCTTGTTTTTATTTACTTTTAACACGATGATACTTTTACTTCTGACTTTCACAACATGAAAAAATGTAACTTGATTGAATGGAAGTCAGATATTAATCTGCCTTCATTTAAGTTATTGTTAATGACTTTCCCTATTCCCATTAAAATTTATTGTATGTGGTGTTTTTCTGTTCAAGTTGAATATTAGTTTTGATCGCTGCGTTAATTTTCATTTATTATGGACATAATAAATTTGAGCTATAAACATACGTAAATGAATATGCATTCACTGTGTAGATTAGAGTTCTACGTCTATCTTTTCTGTAATGAAATTTCATGTTAATCAGTGTTAATGCATGATTTACTTTTTTCTCCAGATTCCATGCAACGCTATATCCTTGCCCAGATTCACAAGCTGATCGACGTAATATGGCCATTGAAGTGATGGGTCAGATCCAAGATTTAGAAACAGTGCTAACGCAAACTAGGCAGCATCGTCAACGTATTTTAGAAACGGCCGCTAAAAATTTACGTACCTGGTTTATAAGGGTTAGGAAAATCAAGGCTATCTATCACACTTTAAATTTGTTCAACCTTGATGTAACTACGAAATGTATGGTTGGGGAATGCTGGTGTGCAGTGAATGATGTGGACAAAATTAATTTAGCTCTACGTCGTGGTATGGAACGCAGCAATAGTACTCTACAGCCGATTTTAAATGGAATAGTAACTACGGAAAATCCTCCGACATACCATCGAACAAATAAATTCACCTATGCTTTTCAAAGCATCATTGATGCTTACGGAGTCGCACGTTATCGAGAAGTCAATCCAGCTCTGTTCACAGTTATCACATTCCCATTCCTGTTTGCTGTAATGTTTGGAGATGCTGGTCATGGATTGCTTATGTTTCTCTTCGCTTTGTGGATGGTTGTATGTGAGCGAAAATTAAGCGTAAGTTTCGTTCAGAATTAAATCTTTTTAAAATCTAATACTATTAGTTATATATATAATTTACTCAAGTTTGGACACAACTCATTTTGTAAACTTTGTTTCTTGCTAACTAACTTGCAAACTAATTTTCATATATCTTTTAAATAGCGTATAACTAAACTTATGCTAAATTCATTAACCTTAAATAAATCGATAAACGCATCACTTTTTAGTTGATAACATTATGTTACATAATTAAAAATTCATTTATTTGTATGTCGAAGTCATTTCCTGTGCGTTTTATTAATAATGCAAGCACACTTTTCTATTTACCTGAATAATTTCTCTGTGTCATACACCCTGCGGATTGGAATATGACTTTAGACCTTATATCAAACTTCATCATATGCTTTAACTGCGTACACTTTACATTAATATTATGAAATAAATATCCTTAGTTTTAGAAGCTTTACTAATCAAGACCTGTATATGATCAGATTATTGTATTGATAGAAATCATGTACATGGAAAACTACTAGAACAATACCAATTAATCCGAATGATACAAAAGGACTATTTGTTACAACTTTTTCAGTCATTCCAATGCAAAATAGGATTATGGTACAACACAACTATTCAAGTGTCGAAAGGTATAAAAAGCACTAAACAATGAGTGATAATAAAATGTTAACGAAATTAATATCAAAACTCAATGGTTCCGGAATGTATCACCTAGAGTCCTCATTAATTTTTATTGTTCAAAAGAATCTATTCAGAATACCCTTGATCCTGTTACATACTTCGAAATCAGTCAGTGACTTTTCGAATTGTGGGATTCCCAGGTCTTACAATTCACGCATTGTTTCCAGCATAATATATTAACAGACATTGCAAATCATGGTCGGTGACAATTCGGTATATGTAATTCGTGAGGTGAATAGGGACTAATGACGGAATCCTTTTCATACCTCTTTAATCAGCACTTACATCCATAAACTAAGTTTTAGTTAACTCTTCATGTAAATCGATAACCATGTACAAACTTGATTTCATACCAGGTTTGTTATTTGAGGATAGATAATATTCAAACTTATGATCAGATGGTTAAAAGCAAATATATGAACCACTTAATTTCTATCAATTTTCAGCTCGCTTGCGATTAGTCTTGTCATTTCAATGTTGTAGAACTTAAACTTCAACGTGTCCACTACACGATAATGCATTTTAGGTTTTTTTTATATTATAGTAGATTCACTGTTCTGTGTGTACTGTAGGGAAATTTCATACAAATATGTACTGGCCGTAATCACAGCACACTATAAAAATCAGGCATTCCATAATGAGTTAATATGTAGAAAAGAAATGTAAAACAAACTGTGAATGAAAGATGGTGTTGTGGCGTTACTCATTGCTGTTACCTTTTTTACTTTTAATGTGTTTTTAGGCTAATAAGTCCGGAGGTGAGATTTGGAATATATTTTTCAATGGTCGTTATATTATACTTCTTATGGGTTTGTTTTCAATTTATACTGGATTGATATACAACGACATATTCTCTCTATCTGCCAACATTTTCGGGTCCTCATGGTATCCAACTTATGATAATAGTGCTTTATCAAAGGAAGTTAGACTCCAGTTAGAACCTCGAACAAGCGTTAATGTGTCGGACCGAATGTATGCTGGATATCCTTATCCTTTTGGTTTAGATCCTGTATGGCAGTTATCTGGTAATAAAATCATGTTGACAAATTCGATCAAGATGAAGATGTCTGTCGTACTGGGAGTATTACACATGCTATTGGGCATTAGTTTAGGTGCTTTCAATTACAGGTAAATTCTTTTTATAATTTTGTTTTCCATGTTTCTTATAGTACATGTCTTAAGGGATGATCTTTGTATCAACTGTTAGTCCTAGTAGCTCTTTCATTTTTATCGTTACATCATTTTCATTAGAAGTTTGTTCTATTGAATATTAAACAAGTGTGATGATCGCATCCTACTTTTATTTCGCTTCAGTTCTCATCTCATGTGGCTATTTTCGAGCATTGAGATATCAAAGTTGCTGCTTTCATCACTCAACGTTCGCGTTAATAGTTTATATATATATATATATATATATATATATATATATATATATATATATGAGCCCAGCTAGTTTTCTGGTTTATTTTGATCCCAGGTGTTACAGTCAGGTTTTCTACGTGCCATAGAATGATGGCGACTATAAAGTGACAGTTATCAGGGATAATTTCTCAGTAGGTTACCTTGTGAACACTGGCTAGAAATAATAAGACTAACTTTGTAGTCACGAGAATCAAGGAGTGGAATAAAAGATTACTCAAGTGGGACTAGCTTCTGCTTTGTATACAGACAATTTGGAAATAGAATAAATTGGATTTATGTGTACGACACTAAACATGTGTTTTGTACATCTTTTATCTAAATCTGAAATAACTGGTAGAATGTGATAGGAATTTATTGGAAAAGTTCCAACTAATGATCATGTAACTTGTGTATCAGGTCTATGTTTATATAAGTAATTTCAGATAATTTTTTGATTAATGATACTACATGTTTACCCAAGCAACTCGTTACTTAGGAATAAGAGTTAAACAATCGAATATAAATATTCATTGTTATTTGTAAAATAATGAATATGCAATTCATAAAACGGATATGTGCACATCATTGTACTTTGTAAATTAACATTTATTTCGATCAAATCTTGTGTCAAGTTGTATCCTAATTGGTATTTGTCAAATCATGTTTATTTGGGTTATTCGGTTTTCATTCTTTTTAAAGGTATTTATTCTGTTTAATTCAAGTAATTGGCTGGTTTCACTTTGCCACCTTTCACTTTCCTATTCATTTCGAGTGCTCAGAATTCATCTAATGCAGACGATGTAAAGAATATGTTTTCGTTCAAACCTAACTCAGCGAAAGTTTAGTTGCTTCTGATTTTCGAACTTTTCAGACCTTTCCCGGAGACAAATTTTATCTGTTAATAAAGAAATTATTTTCCTTTTTCATTATTTTACTTTGTTATTGGTTTTTACATATATTGGATATCCACTTCAATGGTTTTTGTATTCTCTTTCTATGGTGTTTTTCGTTATTGTACTTTCCTTAATTTATTTTTATTCTCTTAGAAATAATAAAGATAACTTATCGATTTGGTGCTTACTGCTTCCTCAAATCCTTTTCCTGTCATGCATCTTCCTCTATTTGGTGATATTAATCTTTTTCAAATGGGTTGCGTATACGGCGGAAACGGCATCCTCTGCACCAAGTCTTCTTATTGGTAAGTTCTCAATTTTTTTTCGGATAAAGTGCTCTACTATTATGTGGAAAGTTAAGGTTGACATTAAGTAACCGGCCTATATGATTCCCTACCACCCCTTTTAAAAAAATTGTAGGGTGTGAATTAAAAATTTGGGTATCATTGATTGGTGGACTTGTTTTGCAAGTGTGTGCTCAAGTGATAATGAACAAACATTTTGTTACCTTTAATGATTTTGTGATTGGTCGTAAACTGTTCATCTTTGTAATCTGATTAGTTGAAATCGAAATCACATCTGGAGCTGTGATTGGATGTCAGAATTTTCATTTTTTACATTTGAAATTTAATGATAATGAATAATCTTTTTTGTGTAATCTTAGTCTTGAGAAAAATTTAGACTTTTGAAGAAAAATACACCAACTTCATTGCATTACCATGCAATCCTACTGTTAGTGAATGTGTATTGGGATAAATTTTTGTTTTCCGATCAAGTATACCTTGAATTGAAGTCGTTAGTTATCGGAACAGGAATAATCATATGTATCTCAGTAAAAGAAAGTTTTTGGGAAAAAGCATCTGTAAACCGGTTTGAATATTTGATAATAGTGATTACTGAATGAGGTCGGTAGTCAAATATTTAATACCAAATTAATAAACAAATTATCACCAAAGTGTGTGCATAGGTTTTTTTGTAACACACGGTGTGTTAATGGGAAAAAGAAATCAACATATCAATAAATCATCATGATAAATTACTGGTTGCAATATGTATAATTCAGGTGAACCAACCGTAGACGATCATTTAATGAACTGACTTTGACAGTATATGAAAGTAGTAATAAATTTTCCGAAAAAGACACTTAATATTTAGTAAAGGATTATTTTGTAAATGTTCATTCATAATGAGAATTAGAAAACGTTAGATTTAAATGTGGTTAATTTTAAAAGTCCATTGAAAGGGTTTATTGTGTTCACTTGTAAATTATTTGTAGTTCTGTATTTTAAAATTAATTTTTTGGTCGTAATAAAAACTAGTTTGTTTAATCAGTCATGGGTGAATATTGTTAACTGCCGTAATATGAAACCCGAACTATATCTAGACATAACGAATGTAACCATTTTTGACAAGCATTTGAAATATCAGTTTCATGAAGTGTAAATGAACAAGCCTACGTCGTCTGACTGACTCACCAAATATCTATCGACATTAAACGTATCAATATGAATAAGGTCAACTGTATCAATGAACATTTACAATGCTATTAGTATTATTTATTTTCCTTATTATTATTATTATTATTATTATTATTATTATTATTATTATTATTATTATTATTATTATTATTATTATTATTATTATTATTATTATTATTATTATTATTATTATTATTATTATTATTATTATTATTATTATTATTATTATTATTATTATTATTATTATTATTATTATTATTATTATTATTATTATTATTATTATTATTATTATTATTATTATTATTATTATTATTATTATTATTATTATTATTATTATTATTATTATTATTATTATTATTATTATTATTATTATTATTATTATTATTATTATTATTATTATTATTATTATTATTATTATTATTATTATTATTATTATTATTATTATTATTATTATTATTATTATTATTATTATTATTATTATTATTATTATTATTATTATTATTATTATTATTATTATTATTATTATTATTATTATTATTATTATTATTATTATTATTATTATTATTATTATTATTATTATTATTATTATTATTATTATTATTATTATTATTATTATTATTATTATTATTATTATTATTATTATTATTATTATTATTATTATGTCAATTGACAAGATTCAATTCTTGTACTATGTATTTCATTGACACAAAATTTTTTGCATTTTCAATTTTCCTATAATGCTTAGTCACTTATTGTGACTGAACACTTTACTGCAAATCATCCCGACCTTTAGTGAATGACCTTTTTAATTTGTTAATATATATATCGTTACAGATGTAAACGTTAACCATTGTTAACACATTACATTGTCAAATTCATAAATGTCATGCCTTATTTTTGGACTTTATAAAATAATAAAATTATGGACTAATAACTGTAGTGTGATGATGAAGTTAAGGAAAACGATTGTTTCCTAAATTATTTTTGATTTTTGAATATTTTAAGGGAATATTGAACTGGTACAATGAGATTGTACCAGTCATAAATAGTTGATGAGGTGTGCAAATGAATACGGTGATATAATCAGTAGTTATGAATAACAATGGAGGCTTAGTTTACGATCAGACGTACTTCTTACGTACGCATAGTTCTGGTTTCAGGAAATTTTAATATAAAACAAGAATCTGAAGTTCTTGTTTTTTGTATCCATGACAGGGATAATATTCTTATTTCTTTTTACACTTACTGTATGACCTTTTATCACATGAATCATTTCAATGATGATGGTTTCAACTTGTTTTCAAATGTCATTATTTTATTCCCATAAAAGTTAATTTTCTCAATTTCGTTTACTTCTCTATGAGCTTTAATCACATTCATCTTTGTAATTATCTTGTTACATTCACTAATAAATGTCATCATAAGTTTATTGACCTAACGACAAAATTACGATTTTCACTCATTTAAAATATTCCTATTAAAATGTACTCAAAATGTACTTTTATTAGATAGTTTACAAATGTGTTACTAAAACATGAACGCTAATCACATTATTTTCGATATAAAATTACTAGATTAGTATTCATTAGATGACAAAATCTTGTCTAAGTTTTCTTAACCTTTATATCTAATAAACGTTAGAAACAAGTTTACGAATAAATGAGCGATAATCGCTTTTCCACTATTAATCTGTAAGGGATATCTAAATTCATTAGACATTAATAAGTGCTTTATCACTTGACCTTTGCGGCGGAAAAGTAGTAGATAAAAAATAATGGAAATCAAATTGTGGGTGGCCCTGAAAAGGGCCTTTACTCGTTCTCGCGGTCGAACGTCATCACTATTAGTTTGTAATGGCGCCACAGATAGGACAGTGCACTGCTCGTACGTTCGGCGATGGGTCGTAGGCACAGAAGGTATGAAACATTGCTTCACATCTACAGAAAACCCAACCAACCGCATCACCGGTTTCACACGGAGGCTGCGCAAGATTACAGATGTCGCAGAGTCGATTCTCGTCATGCTCTTCTTCATTGTCGATGTCCCGTTCAGTTAACTCTTCGGAGTTAATAGAAATTACTTCCTCCTCATCGTTACTGAGCGTTTCATCCAAATCAACAGTTCCTCGTTGTATAAACGGCACTGCTATGTTAGTCGAGGTTCTTGAAAGGGTGTACGAATGCTGTTCTCCATGTAAGTTTACTGGCGTTGTTGGTAGTCTACCGTGAACTATGAAGTCATGAAGTGAACTGCATTGTTCCTCCGACATTCGCCTGATTAACGCTATCACCGCATTCTTCATGCTTGGCTGACTCGTTTGCATTGGGAAATAATTTTCAACTGCAATATGAGTCAGATAACCATCATAGTGTAACCACCTGTCACAAATTGACTGTACGTTCACTTCGGTGTTACTGTGTGTGCAGTAAGCCAATATGTGACGGCATGGTAATCCGTTTTCAATGAAGAATGGACACGAGCACCGGCTAGTGTCGACGTGTACGTAGTACGTCCCCGTGGCGTCCATAGCGGTGAATAAATCTTCCGTCAATGCAGACTGCGTTATAGGAATGCGAAGGTGTCGCTTCAGTAGTTGACAGGCAACTGGTGTCAGTCGTTCCTGAAGTCGACGTACTTCCGGCTCCTCACCAATACCGGCTTTCCCCCGACAATCCATTGAATATTTATGTAATCTTGCTTCCATCCAATATCCAGTACGAAGCAGCACATTGAAAATGGATCTGAGAACCGGTGTTTTTCGATTAAGGTGATACATCTTCAAGACTCGGTGGCTGGTCTCGACGAAGTTCGTATTATTCAGTTCAAAGAGAGTGGATGGCGGTCGAAAAGCAGTGGACCATTTGTGTTTCCGTGGTAGAAGGTGGTCTCTGACGTATCTGCCAAATGTTCCGTCCGACATTTCGATTAACGAAAGTACGTTGTTAAAACTACAAAATCATGTTATGTAGATTTTGATTTACCTTTCAACCGTTCGAGTGAACATGAGGCGAAAGAACAGTTGTACAATTTCTGATCGCACCCTCTACAATAACGGTTACTGGGTTAATGTTAATGAACGAAACACTTACCCTCTTTATCACATTCCGAACAAGGTGTACGCGACACAGAATATGGTGTGCATCCGGATACACCTGCGTAATAGCAGCAGCAATTGCAGGTGAATCATCGGTCACAATGCCTACCAGTTGTCGACTGTTGGTACACCGTTGGAAAAAGAAGAGGAATCGAGAAATAAAGGCCGACGTTTCGCGACTTAAAAAGGCAATGCACATGGGTATTGCCTTAAAATTCATATCCATGGCAACGACTTGATATAAATGGACGTTCTCGTTATTAGTTTTGTACGTCCCGTCAAAACCAATTACGTCACAAAAGTGACCGGCCAAATTCACTTGCTCAGCAGTCATGAAGAAGAAATACGATAGACAGTTCTCATCGTCCAATTCGTATTCGCAAAGCCCACCCAAGGATGTTATGTGAGCTTTCAATTTCCCGTAATCACCTAGAGTGTACATTATAAATTGGCAAATTCCGTACCAGGAAGGTTCGCGTGTGAGAACACTTTGTACCGCATATTGCAGACATCTTGAGCGGTCAGACGTTTCCCATAAGATTGGTAAGCAAAATTCCTGATGTGGAAGGCAGCGGTACCGGAAATCAGCAGCGGTCTCACAGTTTCAAACTCCCCATCCGTTAACCTGCGCATCCATGAATTACCCTGGTACCTCAGGGAATTGCACTCGTGATTGTGATGTACATTCCCACGTACAACAGTCCAATAGCCGTCTATAATCTTACAAAACATAAATGCTGGACATTGGGTGTTCATAGAAGCCCTTCATTAAAAAAAATTATAAAACAATTTACCAAATTACCTCCTCCGTCTAATACGTTGTGACGAACCGCTAGATCTTATACGCCCATTTCGCCAACACACAAATTTAATGTAGGATTTTTGATCTCTGCCAATATGCGAATCTCTCACTACATAATGACTGTAAGTCGATCTTTCAAAATTTGTGATAGTGGTCTTTAACGCTTCAACCGATGGAAACGCAACCAGAAACAAGGTAGTCAAAAAGACTTCCTCCATTTCCGTTACGTGAGAAACACCAGCGCTCGTACTCGGCACGTTACTCTGCTCCATAATGACGATTGAGATTGTGCTTCGTCGACAAGTACTGATAATTTATAACAATTTTCAAGACATAACTAACCAATTAAATCTAATTTTTGGAACTAGCCATTTCATTGGACGAAACACGGGATGAAAAATATTGTAATTTGGGGTAGGAAAATTTTTTTTTAAAAAAAAAAGGCCGGTCGGACAATATTATTCGAAAGTTAATCATAATATCTGGAAAATATCACCACAAACAAAATAAGCATCGAGTTTTTCTTCATCCTAACTGATGCAATAATTATTGGTTGTTTGTTACCGTCGTTTTTGTTACTATGTATAGTTAGCCTTTTTATGTTTTTGCTTGTGTAAGAAATCTTTTATCCTGTAGTTTAATCGATGTGTTAATGGTCTAATCTTCTGCTATTCATTGAAATCACGAACCGATCAATGTTCGACCACCATGGATATTCACTTGCTTATCATTCAAGATTTGATTTCTTCAGGTAGATCGTCTTACCGAATGCACTTTGATAACAAGAAATTCGATAGTCTTGTTGTTTCTCTACGGGTATTACATAGTGCTTTATTTTGATCTTTGTTCGGCATTTAATCTGTTTAGTTACATTCGTTTAGATATGATACTTACAGTAATACATGATTGATTTAAAAACCGGTTTGTTAGCATTTAGAGAAAATATGTGTGCCATCATGGAGTCTAATTGGTACTTTTGTTACGACTCTTATTGATTATACTACGTACGGATAGTTTTACGTTCTGCATTAGCTTTTGACTCGTCATTCTTTATTTGGAATATCCGATCCTATTTTTTTTAAAAATATTTCTATATCTTTTAAATTGTATTTTCTCAGGATTGATCAATATGATCCGTTTCAGTTATTCGGATGAAATTCCTCCTTTGTATTCTGGACAGGTTAGATTTCCGTTTTTTGTGATCTTGGGTTTAATTATTGAAAATATCGCTAACACTTTTAGTGGATCGTAACAACCAGTCGATAATGACTGATAATTCTGTTAGTTAACAATTTCATACCTAGTATTCAGTACCCGGTACATCATTATAGTTTGCATCCCAGATATTCTCACATTTCATAAAAAGTACGTTTATGAAATTTATGTTCATACGTAATTTAAATTACCATTCACTAGTTTCACTACTGTGTTTGAAAACCTAGATAATGAGTTCCAAACAGCGCGAAGTTCTTACTTCGCTATTTGAGATACTATTATGAATGCCAGTTACTTTTAACTTGAACATCAGTTTACGCTCAATAACTAACTAGGGCGTTGAGTTGGATACCGAGAATTTCAGATTTAGAACAATGCCAATTTATAAACAGAGATAAATAGTAGTTGGTGGTGAGACTTAGGATTCGGGTTTCGTCCCTGCGTGGGACTCGTCAGCTGAGTGTACCATCGTTTCAGTGTTGATGTTCACTCCCAGTGCTTGAACTCAGTCCCTTTCGCTTCAATTACTCATGTGTTTCACAATTAGTTACTGAGCCACTGGCTTATATAACATGAAAGAATTATAATTCATTTTTAAGGTTTCGAATCCTCCCATTTTCGCTTGAAAATGCTTTTAACTGACTGCAGTATAAAGGTAATCCGCTCGGCGTCCGTTTATGCCAAAAAATACAGATCAATTGCAGTCTCTAACATCATCGACAGGGAGATTTAAACCCTTATAACCGAATGGTTATTTAGATGCTTGTTTCATCAAATCGTTTCATAAGAACATTCTTTCGCTGAGATTTTACAAATATATTCTTCCTCTTTAATTACTTATTACATTTTATAATGAACCATGAAAAATAATATGGTCAAGACAATTACTTAAATATATATCTTTTTAGTAATGTATAATATTGTCTACCATAAACTCTCTATTAGTCACTGTACAGTTGAGATGTTATCAAAAATTGTATAATAAGCCGTCTACATGAGTAAGACGTAAAACGACAGGTTTGGCATTTCATTCATAAAGTACTTTTGTGTGTTAAGAACCGTGAAATTCATCCTTGATTTAATGGATATTAAAGCTGCCAAAGTTCCAAATAGAAAAAAATGAGCAAATTAATAAATAAAATTTTTGTGACTCATTTAATAGACCATTAATGTTGGATGAGTGTTGAATAAACTGTACAAACATGTAAAAATAAAATAATCAGTTAAATCAGATAACTTTAGATTGTAGAAATGCATGCATATGAAGAATGTCGGGTTATTTTATAATAAAGTGGTTGTTCTGTCATTTACCCACGTTTGACCTATTTGCAATGTTTAACTACTGATATGACTTTTGTTATCGTATTTTATTTTATTATTCTTACTACTATCAGTTCACCTGTCTTCGTGCTACTATAAACTTGTACTTTTACCTATTATGTGTGGTGACTTATTCTATTTCATTGTGTGATTATTGACCTAAATTACCTTGATTGGTTTAATATTTTCGTATAAATATTCATGTATATTAGATTAAAGTCTGATGATCTAATTGAAGACAATTGTTCGCTTACATGTGTTGTTCTAATCTTAGATTGTTTAAATGTTGATCATATAAACATGATTTTGTTCCTTTTTTCTATCACTGTACGTTTTACTCTTAATTTTAGAAAGCTGTTCAAAGTATATTGATGGTTATTGCAGTTATATGTGTTCCTTGGATGTTGTTGTCTAAACCCTTAATTTTGTATATGCGTCATCGTGCCATCATGAAGGTAATTAAGTTTATCCGTTTTGTGTTAATCGTATTATCCACCTATCTATGTATAGTGGGAATCTTGATTGACTTATTTTCAAATTATAAGGATACGATTTTGTCTGCAAACATGTGTTTTTTATTGTTATACTTTGTTTTTTCATCGCAATCTTATGAATTCGGTTTTACTTTCATATATCAAGTAGCGTGCGTGTATGTGACCTATAAATAAATAGTAATCCACCGATCTAGACCTTTCACATTAATTCATATCAGTATTCAACAAATTGACTACGTTTAATGTAGTGCTTAGTTGCAAACTGATCAGTATTGTTTATTTATTATTCAGATTTTCAAAGTTGTGCGTTTGAGCGTGTTCACTGTATTTGTAGTTACTTTTTAAAACATATTCAAAATGTTTATGAAAAGAAAGTAATTATTACTTGAGAATTTCCAAGGAAAATACTTATTCAGTGGTTGTATATCATTAGGTAGGTACTAGTTTAATGATATTTTGCAGAGTATAGTATATTGTTCAATTTTTGTTAAGTTAAATTGAGCCTACTGAAAAATTTATTATACCAAGTATTATCCATTAGCTTAATTATCAATTCGACGCTGTTTGAAATTTACTTTCATTCTAACTAATATGCATACGTTGTTTTTACCTTTGCTCTTTTTATTTTGTAAAACACTTAAACTTATTTTGTGAAAATAGAATAGACATTATGTGGATCCTGATGCAAGTGTGCATGTGGTCATTGGTGGTGTAACAAATCCAAATATGGATGATAGTTTCATTGGTGATAATAATGGTATTATGTACAGTGACATGTCTCCACTACATAGATCGTCATCTGAAAAACGTTCTAAGGTTTCATTAATTAGTCAAACAGATTCACCAAGTAGTCATGAAGTTCATAAGGTGAGAATTTTTAAAAAAAATACTTTTCTTCCTATTTCTTTACTAACTCTTTCATGTTTTTGCTATTTATTTAAAAAATTATTCAACGAAACAAATAAAAATTATCCGTTTATGAGGCTCGTGGCCCTGCCATTCACCCTGATGTTTCAACTAAATCATCCGAAAAAATAGCATTAGACGGTAATGGTCTTGGAGATGGAAGTGGTATAGGTTCGATGGATATGCCTGTGGAGTCTGTAAGTATCTTAACTTCGGTTCACTAACCGATAATAAGTGTTGTGTGTTCACGTTGTTGTCACTTTTGAATATATCCTCATTGTCGTGCATACAATTTTCACTTGTATCTGATAGCCTGTATAACCTGTTGGTAATCTGATAAGTGGTTACCTTATTAGGAAACGAATACTTAACTTCTGTGTTTAAGTTTTTATTTAATCGATTCACGATTAAAATTTGTATGCCACCCTTTTTATATATTAAGAGCATGAAGTAAGCCACAGGCTAGTATGTAACTAAGCTGGCGAAGGGTTTTTCACGTAGTTGTTATTGTGTGTATCATTAACTTGAAATAACACCCTCCATTTTTTGTTGTGTAACTATTGTATCTGTTGTCCTAAAATGTTATGTTTTTTATTTTAAATGAATGTATAACTATATGGGTATGTTGCATTTATTTCCATGTATTTCAGTTTGATTTCGGAGATATAATGGTTCATCAAAGCATTCACACGATTGAGTTTTGCTTAGGTTGCATTTCCAACACAGCTTCTTACCTTCGACTATGGGCTTTGAGTTTAGCACATGCGCGTAAGTGGTACATTTAAAACTTCCATTGTTATACATAGTCTTGTCTTTTTAGAACACTAACACTTTACTTTTTAAAGCTTATCTGAATGTTACCTCTTACCTTCGTTGCCTACCACTGCTCATGGTTATTGTGTATACTCTTTGTCATCCTACATCCAAATTACCTTTACTCTCTCGTATTTGGAACGTGATAGAATAATAGGTTACCAAGGATTCCTCGTAACAGTATATCCACCAAGATCCACTGTTTTTTTTTTAACTTTCTAGTGTAAGCCATTGGTAGATATCACTACTGTTTTCACAGCTATTTGGTTATCGTGTAAACCTACATTTAGGTTAACGTAATTTTACTTCCATAGTTCCTTCTGAAATGTACTCTTGGCTTTTTCATTATAACAATAGACCTTAAGGGATCTCCCTGATGTGGATTTTTCGCATCATACAAGACACAGGGAAACATGTTCTCACTAGATCGTGATCATAGTCTAAATATTTGCTCCAGACCGAACAAAAGTCTTCTATCAAGCTGGTAGCCTATCTTTATGTGAATTTGGAGGGCGCTATGTCATAAGATGTTTCTCTTTATGCTTAAGGTTGGTGCTTGTTAGGAATAAATAGTTTTCTCAGCAAACTTGCAGCCGACGATTGCCATTATATGTTCCCTGTTCGAAGACGCTGAGAGACTCACCTTATTATTTTTACAGGATGATCTACACTGGCTACTTCGGCATTATAATCAACCTCTACAATTATTTTTTATATGCTTGGTTCCTTGAAGTTGATCAATATACTTGTCAACTTCATCCTTTTCTTCGTTCAAATTTCAGTCAGCGGAGCGTAGGCGAAAATTAAAAATCGCAAATAGTTTGTATCATTATCCTTACGAACCCCTGGTGTTTGATTTGATTTGATCGCACACATATGACTCGACTGAAAGCCAGTCCAGGGTTACCTGTCCTACTCTAAGACTTGACTTCATACTTGTGCGTGTTGTTCGAGCATTGAAAGCTCCAATACGTAGTTTACAGCTCATTTGCAGTAAACTACAAATAACATTTCATGAGCATTGTTGGTTCATTGAGATAAAGGCGACCTTTTAGGAGAATTTTCAGATATGAAAGATAGAATAAATATTAAGTAACGGAGATATTGATCGTGAATAGGATTACCTAGAGTGCTGTTGGTGTGTTGGCAGTTATAACTACTCGGTTGCTCACATCGTGAAAGGATACTTCTTACGGTATCCGAAAAAGAGACTTGTTGATTTAGTTACGTGACTGTGTGTCTAAAAGATGACTGTTTATTGCTGGGGACACGGCCTTTTGTTTAGCTACTTATGATTTTAATTCCATTCTTTTCAGACCTTATTGTTTGCTATGGAAATCTGTGAATGATGTACTAATTTATGATCATGCCTTTTCCAAACCATTTCGCTGTGGGAAGACAGGATTACCTGAGATATTAGTTGTTTAAGAGCAACTATTTGCTGTCGTCACATTCCAGCATAATCGGCAGCTTATTTTTACCCGCAGACCTTAAATTTTCGGCTGTTTGTTTCCGGTATGGTAACGGTTACTTAGTGTTGTATTGATCCCGTCCCCTGTCCCGATACTTTCAGGGCTGTGGTAGAACATACATCAAAAATAGGGTTTCTATTTTATTACCTAATGAATAAGTAACAAAAGTACCTTTATTCTTAAATTTTTAAAGTTACTATATCCAAAGCTTGCTCAGTCATCTGATTTTCTTGTCGTCATTGCTAACCCCGATGGGTTACACAATTCTTTCGGTATATCCGTTGTTTTGTTATAATTTGTGCATATGGTTCCATAATGATACCTTTAATTTCAACCTGATTTTATTTGGTAATGGTCTGTTCATCATACATTACTGCCAATTTGCACTCTTTTAAACAAGGAGTTCATTGTGTCCATCACCAGTCCTTGTTTGATTGTATGAAATGTAGTCGTTATTACGTTTTCCTGAAATCAGATATTTTGCCATTATATTTGTATCTATCCTTTGTCTGTTTGGTATAAGTTATTATTGCATTTTGAAAAAGTTCATTTTCAACTCCTCTTGCTCAGAATTATCGGAAGTCCTTTGGAGTATGGTTATGAGAATGGGTTTACGTATATCTGGTCTATATGGCGGTGTTGTGTTAGCATTTATTTTCGCATTCTGGGCTGTGCTAACCGTTAGTATTCTTTTGTGCATGGAAGGATTATCTGCTTTTCTCCATACACTTCGTCTCCACTGGTAAGTTCATTACTTTGTTTAGAGCTCTTGTTTATTTTTTTTTCGTATAAACAGGTTTGTAATTATGACTGATATAAGTCCTCCAAATCTTGGTGATATTGAAAAGTTTATAGTTAGTCTAATACGATGAAGAGCGCCATTCTCTGGTCTATCAACTGTAGAGATCTTAAGGGAAGATGGTCTAAGTGTAATCACTAAGCCGACTAAGATCATATGTATTGTTTGGGGGCTGAACCTAATCCTATCTGACTAGTTTCACTCTCCTATTGTCCCAGTTTGAAGAAAGGACGAAAATCCACGTGTGATTAAAGAAAGAATCGGTTTGGCAGATATAATATCTGAAATATTATCATCTGACGTTTGAATAGAGCTCGTTAAGAATGAACTTAAAGAAATCAAACTGGTTTCGGACCTGGACATAGATTTATTGACTGAATATTCATTCCTCGTCAGATTTCAGAACTTAAGCGTACTTACTGATATTCAACTATAGTCGTATCGATTTACCCTTCAATACAGCCTTTAACTATGTTGATCGAAAGGTCCTGTGGCATTGTCTGTCATTGAATGACGTCTCAAAGAGTATACTTAAGTCGTATAAAGGTTCTCCACTCAGACAACATTAGTCAAATCAGCTGTTTGATTGAATTTAACGACATTGGAAGCTTGCTTGTGATTCCCTTCTTCCTCTTTAAATACAGAATTTTTCTTCACGCTTAATTTGCGTCAACTCTTGAACTAGTGATCATAGGTAAAGTAGTTGAGTAAGTGGATCACTTCACTTCTTTTAGAGGTCTCATCAGTTTTGGTGTATTGATATCAAATGAAATCTCTGCACGGATTCGGTAAGCTCGATTGACATTTGGTAGCATATGGGATAAGTGAAATATCCACCTTCCGGTCAAAGGACAATTATATTGGGCAGCAGTCTTCTCTGTGTTATTTCACTGATGTGAAACATTGCTTTTAAAGTTAAAGACTTACGCAGGCTGCGGTTGCTTCTAAAGCATTGCTCACATTTTTTGGAATAACCAAGTAAACGATGTTGAGGTTAGTCATGGTATACTTGGGAAAGATGGCAGATTCGTTAATGTGGTAGTGAATCTTTGTGTTTTATATGTGCTACATATTTCCAACTACTTCTTGCCTGAACCAATGGTGTTTTCTGGTGTAGGTTGTAAGGAATCTAGGGTTGGCAAAAACAAAGACGTCAGTAGCTCATGAAGCTCGTTAGCAGTTATCCAGTATCATATTGATAAAACGAGTATACTGCGCACCAGTTCGTTTTATTCTTCTTTACAACTGCAAAACGTGGCTATTAAGAGTGGAAGATGCTCGTAAGTTGCTAGTATTTGGTCACAAATGTCTTAGAAATGTAGCTCGCATCTGCGGCTCCTCCATTTTTATCATTGTTACTACATTATTTTGATTTTTTTTGTAATTGTTCTTGTTAGCCTTGTTTTGTCCTGTCATGTGGTATAACAGTTTGAGCCAATACAAATTTATCTCTGACTAATACATTGTTTAACACTGCTGACTATTCAACCTTATAGTCTGTACCAAGGTAATTGATGTGCCTAATATGTGGTTCTAGAATAAACGCAAATAATCTGCAGTCACTATAATTATAATTATGTTAACCTGTACCCACTGTAATTTTTCTATTCTTTAAAAAAACATGAAGTAATCATTTTAGGGTACTGTTCGTAAAAATAAACTTTCTAGAACTATTTATCTTTTAACAGGGTGGAATTTCAAAATAAATTCTACAGTGGTGATGGTTATCCTTTCGTTCCATTCTCCTTCGAACATTCCAGCAGTGTAGTCGACAATTAAAATTAGATTTTATTATTTTGCTATGTTGTGTGTGTTCACTTAAATTTATCTTCATAAATGTTGTGATTATTCTTATAAACTGCTATAATCATTTCATCTACTGGACAGTCCACGTAATTTAATACTTATTACTTATTTATTTAACCCTTAAGTCATCATCTACTTAACCGATTTTATTATCCTTGATCATTATACATTGACTGGGTTCGTTTCATATTTATTAATTTTTATGTTGTTAGATCTACTAATAAAGCTGTTCAAATCCACTTTCACATTTTAAGATATTGCTTTATCACTGAGAGTTATTTTTTTGTTTTATTTGAACAAACTGTAGACCCAAAAAATGGTTAGCTCAATTCAGATTTAGGATGGTCCAGTCCATTATATACTAAATATACTCAATTTTAATTGTAACATTTCGATAATGAGCGTCCGGAAATTAACAGGTACAGTTTCAAACTCTCCACTACCTAGTCTTACTGATACGTCTTTGTTATACGTAGTGATTTTCGGGTGCTGTAACCTTCAGACTTTCAGAAACATAATAGAAACCAAGACAATATAGTATCTAACTGTTTAGAGTCAAACTATGAATAAATCAAGTTCAAATATGTACCAAAAAATTATTAAGAAGGACGGTATTGATAATCGTAGTTTTCAGCTTGTTAGGTGCCTCTCATTTCTCTCGACAGTAAGAACGTTCTTTCCACAGGCAAATACCCACAATCCATACGCAAATGGAAATTTTATTTGATCGAACAACAAACAAAAATGAAAAGCCCATAGTAGCCATTTTGAACTGCTTGATTGTTAGAACTCACCAGTACGCCTACAAAACCGAATAACCTAGCTCAATATCTCCCAAAATAATTTTTTGACAACACCTGTCTTACCCGTATATACTAAAAACTTCTTGGTGTACCCAACTGATATGCTATCTATTCTTCCTTATCTTCGATTGATGACAATGTAGTCGCGGTTCGAGTTAAGTAGCTGACACTCCTTAGGATTCTTAATGAGATGAAAGCATTCGCTTCACGTCTTTTCGTCACTCGTTTTTTTCAGGCTCCTTACAACTCATCGAAGCTCGTCGGTCTACTCCGGGTGACCGTGAGTTCGATCATAAACAAAGGCTGTTACGTAATAAAATCGGGCAAAGCTTGCGTAAGGACTGAGAAACCTGGTGGTCGGAGCATGCTAATGAGTTGAAAGCAGCAACTGCATCTGGTAACTACCGGAAGCTCTTCCAACTCATCCGAGCCACTGGCAGCAAGAAGTCTGGTGTGAGCGAAACAATATGCGAGGATGACGGGATGCTAGTCACTAGCACCCATCGACGTCTTGGACGATGGGCAGAATTTTTCGAAGGGCAGTTCGAATGGTCTGTTGCTCCGACAGCATCGGTCAGACTGTCCTACCCTCCATGGCCGGTGACGACTGATTCACCAAATGAGGTGGAAGTCAGCAGGGAACTCCAACTCTTGAAACGCTACAAATCACCAGGCCCAGATGACTTACCTCCGGCTCTTTTTGAAGATGGCGGTGACTTTCTGGTTAAGGAACTGACAACGTTGTTTACAGGAGTCGGGGAACTAGAGAGTGTACTAACGTGATGGAATGAGTCGATAGTTGTCCCTATCTTTAAAAAGGGTTCACGTCGTTCCTGTAACAACTATCGGGGGATAAGTCTACTTCCGATTGCGTCCAAGCTATTGGCTTCCGTCATACTTCGTAGGTTGTTCAAAACCCGAGAAAGATTGACTCGCGAGAAGCAGGGTGGGTTTCGTTCTGGTCGGGGATGTATTGATCACATCTTCACCCTCCGCCAAATGTTAGGACACCGTCATACTTATCACAGACCAACAATCGTGGTGTTTCTTGACATAAAGGCTGCCCTCGATTCGTTGGACAGCATTGTTCTCTGGGAATGTCTATTGAAGAAGGGTGTACCTGAGAAGTTCATTAACATCTTAAAGGCCCTATATACAAACACCTTTCTTCATTGTTCCACTCAAGCAGTGGGGTTAGACAGGGTTTCCCAATCTCACCATTCCTCTTCAACTTTGCCATTGATGACATTCTGTAAACAGCTCTGATGGATGTAAGTAATGGCGGTGTGGATATGTTGCCTGGCGAAAGACTTCTCGACCTTGAGTATGCGGATGGTATTGTCTTACTGTGCGATAATGCCCAAGCCATGCAATCCGCACTTAATCAGTCAGCAACCAATGTCCGTAGGTACGATATGTGCTTCGCACCTTCGAAGTGCAAAGTACTTCTACAAGACTGGCAGGATTCTAATCCTGTACTCACCCTGGATGGTGAGCAGATAGAAGTAGTCGAGAAGTTCGTGTATCTAGGTAGCTGCATAAGTGCTGGTGGTGGCGTGAGTGATGAGGTTGATTCACGTATAATGAAAGCCAGAGTGGCTTATGTCAATCTGGGCCACCTTTGGCGCCTTCGTGATGTCAGTTTGGCTGTAAAAGGTCGGATCTACAACGCGTCGGTGAGAGCAGTTCTGCTCTATGCTTGTGAAACCTGGCCTCTCCGGGTTGAGGATGTTAGACGACTCTGTGTTTGATCATCGTTGTCTCTGAAGGATTGCTGACATCCAGTGGCCTCAAACGTATGATTTTTTCGAAATGACTGTGCTTTTTGTTGGAAATGTCTCGAATATTCATCCGTATATACCCACAAAGTCTAAAAATTCTTATTTCACATCCAGTATATAAAAATTAGCGTGTGAATGTGCTAAGCTGAACTTCGTCCAATATTCTTAGCAATATTTTTCATTGGCATTCGAATTCTTCTCAATGTGTACGCAAAGTTGTCCTCATAGTTCGTTTAACAGTATAGATTTTACTGATAGTTCGAATTACGCGTTCTGCATTCTGGTCTCTTTTTAATTTCGTTGTGTATAGTAAGGGAATGATATATAAAAATCCCAAAAAGGAACAGACTCACAGTTGCAGTTAGGTGTATCAGATCACGTCGGCTCACCAATGATGATGTCACAGGTATTCAGTGTTTGACAACGCTTCTACCAGTAACACCTAATATATTTCGTTCCCGCCCAGAGAAATCAAAAGACAGAGTCGGGGAGATCGGAAGAGTATATTTGGCGATGACCAATATATCGGAATTCTCTGATCTAATCTGGCTAGCGATTGCAGGTGATGTTGAGCACGGCGTTACCACACGTGATCTGGTGCGGATGCATGACCGAGCGCCTTCAGCTAGATGAGTCCACTAAAACATATGGTCAGCATCCAATGTCGAAAACTTACAGAGCTATTTAGTTTGGGGATTTATTTACCGCTACAGATCACTTCCCCCCTAGTGGTGCAGTGATGACCCTAAGACGTGGCCAGCCAGAAGTTTAAACCCAACGAGTTTGTCGTTGATAAACACTCTTCTGATAGCTTACTAAATTTAGCAGCGTCTGGTCGTCTTTCCTTACTATATGGGACCGAGGTACAACATAGTAAAAAAAGAAAAAGTTACAACGAAAATTTCGACTCCCCCTAAGCTGCATCGTTGTTTTCCAGCTGTCCCGGAAAAGAAAGAAGAAAATGTAAGTGCATGTCGAAATACACTCGTATGTGCGTAAAAACACAATGTCGGCGGGAAAAAATGGAAAATAAACTCATGAACATGTAATAGCGTTAAAAAAATTGTTTTTTTTAAAATAGAAATAAAAATATATAAGCATATTATATTTTTTTTAGAAAAAATAATATAAAATGTCGAGAAGTGCCTTACGTGCAATAGTCGTTTAAATGTTCTGGAAATCTCACCCTTCTTCCAGAACGCATCGTTTTAAGTTTATTTTCGGATACTGTCAAAGTATCATCGCTAGTGTTGGTTGTCGGTTGAGGAATTATGAGTGTAGGAGTCGTGTTGTGCGATTGTACCGAAGGAAAGTCGACGTGAATAGGATTTCCTTCTAAATACGCTGCTTTTAAGCGATCGATGCTGATGCTATCGTTGGTTCTGTTCTTATCGACTATATAGTACTTAGATTCACATTGAAGAACTTTGAAGGGTACTTCGTATGCTGATTCGAATGGTCGTCGATGCGAGTCTCGACGAACGAAAACGTGTGTACTATATCGTAAGTCAGGTTGAACGAAATCATCAGTTGATTGAGGTCAAGTGGAAGCAGGTTTAACTGAACGCATTGCGTTTGTAAGCCTGTTCGTGTAGGAGGTTAGATCCATGTTCATTGAAGAGGATGAAGGATCCACGAATTCTCCTGGAAGTCGAAGTGTCGTTCCATAAACGAGTTGAGCCGCAGTGTTTCCAATGTCAGCTTTCACTGCATTACGGATACCTAGTAAGACAAGTGGAAGAGCGTCGGTCCACTGTGAAACGTTTGCAGCTGATAGTGAAGCTCTTAGTTGTCGGTGAATACGTTCTACCAACCCGTTTGCTTGTGGATGGTAGGCGGTCGTTCGGAAGCGAGTGATTCCTAAAAGTGTGGTCAGACGACGGAAAAGTTCAGATTCAAACTGACGTCCGCTGTCTGTGGTGATGGTTGAAGGGCAACCGAAGTTTGCTATCCATCGTTCGACGACGGTGCGGGCCACTGTTTCAGCAGTGATGTCCTTGATAGGTACTGCTTCTGGCCATCGAGTGAAACGGTCTACGCAGGTTAAGAGATAAGAATATCCATTTGAATCTGGTAAAGGTCCTACCAAATCCAGATGAACATGGTCGAAACGAGCATCGGGAGTTTTAAATGAGCCTAGGGGACATATATTGTGTCTGATAACCTTAGATTTTTGGCAGCTTACACAGGAGCGTGCCCACTCCCTCACGTCTTTATTCATGCCAGGCCAGCAAAACCGTTCTGCTATAAGCTTGATGGTTGCACGAACACCTGGATGAGAAAGTTTGTGCAACTTATTGAAGACGTTGCGTCGATAAATTTTCGGCACGATTGTGTAATCCCTACCTGTAGATGTGTCACATAGTAAGGTTTCCTTACCTGTTCCCATCTGTTTGATGCGTAGTTTAAGTGTTGTGGACGATAACTCGTGCTGAAGATCACTGTCTTCTTTTTGAAGCTCGGCGAGTTTAAGAAGGTCGATTCCTTGGAAACTGTTCAAGGAAGTTATACGAGATAAAGCGTCTGCAACTACATTGTTTGCTCCAGAGATGTGTTGAATATCTGAAGTAAACTGCGAAATGTAGTCCAGTTGTCGAGACTCACGGGGAGAGTACTTGTCGGAAGGAGAGCTTAACGAGAAAGTGAGCGGTTTATGGTCCGTGAAAAGAGTGAATTCACGACCTTCGATGTAGTGTTGGAAATGCCGTACAGCACGATACATAGCTAGGAGTTCCCTACCTAATGTGCTGTACCTCGATTCGGTGTCTAGCAACCTTCTAGAGAAAAATGCCAAGGGTTGCCAGGAGTTGTTAACCCATTGTTGTAGGACTCCTACGATTGCTGAGTCGGATGCGTCTACTGCGATACTAATGGGTGCTTCGGTGTCCTGATGTGCGAGCCTTGTTGCTTTAGCAATCAGTTCCTTAACTGTGGAGAATGCTTTTCTTGCGGTGTCGTCCAAATTAATGGATTTCGCATTTCCACGAAGTTGGTCGGTCAGAGGTTTCATAAGTAATGCGCATTTCGGTATGAAACGTCTATAGAAACTTACGAGGCCGTTAAACGTGCGTAATTGCTTGACGGTGGTCGGTTTTGGGTAATCCAGAATGGCCGCCACTCTGGTTCTAAGGGGTCGGATACCTTGAGTATCGATAGTGTGTCGCAGAAAGTCTAATTAGCCGGTTCCGAATTGGCATTTCTGAACGTTTACAGTAATGCCATGTTTTTGTAGTCGTTCGAAAACAAGATCCAGATGCTTGAGATTTGATTCTCTATCCAGACTTGCGATTAGACAGTCATCAACATACGCATGTACGAAGTTGAGACCTCGAAAAACGTCGTCTTTGAATCTTTGGAATGTTTGAGCAGCATTCCTTAGACCGAAAGGCATTCGCGAAAATTCATAGAGTCCGAAGGGAGTTATGATAGCTGTTTTCGGTATGTCGTCAGTAGCCATAGGGATTTGGTTATACGCTTTAACCAAGTCGATTTTCGAAAAGACAGTTGTACCTTTCAAGGTAGCTGTCAAATCGTGAATGTGAGGCAACGGGTAACGATCGGGAATGGTTTTCGCGTTCAATCGCCGATAGTCACCAGTTGGACGCCAATCGTTGCTGTCCTTTATAGGGACCATGTGCAACGGAGATGCATATGAGCTACTTGACGGTCGTATGATCCCTAAGTCTATCATGTGATCGAATTCGTTTTTCGCTAACCTTAGTTTTTCAGGAGCTTCAGAGAATGCAGGTGGTCCTGTAGTCCTGATGTGATATGTAACGTCGCTGGTTACACACAGTAGTTTCGGTTGCGTTTGTTGTATCCCAGGGTACTTATCGAGTAGTGGTTGATAGAGTGGGTCTATCATATGCTTAATTGTGACGGGATAATCTGGAACCAGTAAAAGAAGTTACGCAAACGGACAAATTAGTGTTTCCGTCTACTAGCCTCCGTTTGCGAGTGTCGATTATCAGATTGTGGTGTTGTAGAAGGTCCATACCAATGATTGGTATATAAACATCTGCAACAACGAAAATCCAGTGTATGGGTTTTCGTAAACCCACGTTAAGGTAAACGTACCTTTTGCCATACGTAGCGATCAGTTTTCCGTTTGCCGCCTATAAGTTTAGGGTCGATTCGTGAAGTCGGTCGTTAGGATTTGCTGGGAGAACGCTAACTTCTGCGCCAGTGACGACGAGGTAGCGAACTCTCGTTGTCACATCTGTGATGTATAACAGACGGCTATGTTCGCCGGCTACGGTTGCCGTTAACGCGTGCCGGCTTGGAAGTTTCCCGAATTGCTTTTCGAATCAGTCGGTTTTGTGTTGGGAAAATTGCAGGGTTTTCTGCAATTTCTGGAAAACTTTCCATACTGGTTATGATACCAGCACCAGTCAGGGTTATCTGTCTCTCGTGGTCTAGAGACAGATCGCTTACGTGACATGCTTCTACGTGGTGTGCGCGATCTCTTACGGTCGGTACGAAGACTAAGATAACGCGTGAGTGTGTGACATAAGTTGTTTATATCATTCCGAGTCGTGTGAGGCTTTTCTTTGACTGAAAATACCTCTGTAGTAGAAGGTTTCGTAATTTCTAAAATGCGGTCGGCAGATGCAGCTAGCTCGTCTAAGGCGTTGTTCTGGAATGAGACCAGAACTGCTTGCACCTGTTGGGGAAGTTTTGACAAGAAGAGTTGTTTGAATAGACCTTCGTCGAAAGTTCTTGGGCCTATTACCTCTCTCATCCGTTGCAACATGTCCGTCGCAGAACCGTGTTGCAGGTCGATGTTATTGAAGAGTTGATCTAACCTTTGTCGATCGGTTAGGTCTCCTCGTTTAAGAATCGAGCGTTTTAAGATTCCGTAAGGATCGGAAACATCACTAGTAAACATACTAGGTGTTACGTACCTGTTGAATTCGCGCGGTTGTGCCTTGACTACTGCGAGGAATTGTGCACGTGTGTCGATCACGCCGTGCTCGTGGAAGTCGGCTTCTGCGTAGCAGAACCAGGCTTCGATGTTGTCAGGCCAGAAAGGCATCAGTTGAAACGAAGGCGGGGACAAAGTCTTAAGCTTGAGTACTTTAGGTGTCTGTTCAGTCATGATGAAGTATGAAGTACGATAATGAACGAGGGGAAAAAATATATATCCAAGAAAAAACACGAAAAAAATCACAATGTTTAAAAAAAAATAAAAAAATAAGGCAATGATATATAAAAATCCCAAAAAGGAACAGACTCACAGTTGCAGTTAGGTGTATCAGATCACGTCGGCTCACCAATGATGATGTCACAGGTATTCAGTGTTTGACAACGCTTCTACCAGTAACACCTAATATATTTCGTTCCCGCCCAGAGAAATCAAAAGACAGAGTCGGGGAGATCGGAAGAGTATATTTGGCGATGACCAATATATCGGAATTCTCTGATCTAATCTGGCTAGCGATTGCAGGTGATGTTGAGCACGGCGTTACCACACGTGATCTGGTGCGGATGCATGACCGAGCGCCTTCAGCTAGATGAGTCCACTAAAACATATGGTCAGCATCCAATGTCGAAAACTTACAGACCTATTTAGTTTGGGGATTTATTTACCGCTACAATAGAAACATGGTGATCTCTGACAAAATTTTTTTAAAGAAAATATACACCTACCCTAATCTTCGAAGCATTCCCTATAACTTGTTGATTTCACGAGTATTGTAAGCCCCAAATGAAGGATTGATTCCATAGCGATCTACATAGACCATGATAATAATAATCATAATAATATTTCTCCAATAACAGTTTGTTACATGAGGCATGCCAGTTTACAAGCAAGATCGTGCCGTGTTTGTGCGTGCATAAATGGATGTAGAAATCCATACACTCTATGCGACC